AAAAAAAAAAAAAAAAAAAAAAGACAGAAAAGAGAGAGCTCATGTATTTTTAATTACAAAAGCTGCACAGCCCAGGCATTTTCCTGGTAGCTCCTGAGAAAGCGTTTGGGCCTGATTCTCCCCTTGAACCTCATGATCCACCGCTTTCCGGAGAGCGACTCCGGAGTTACGGGGATATAAATAAGTGAGAGGCAGGCCCTACCAGAGCAGAGGATACCAAAACAAACAGAGGATCAACCAGCTTCAGAAATTTGATTCTGAGATAGCAGGGGGAGAATCCTTTAAGTTAAAACTGTGGAAAGACAGCGTATTCGCATTTCAAGAAGAATCTCTGTTTGCAATCCTTCCACCAGCAGAACCAGCGGCGACGGCGAGGGATCGGTGCTACGCACAAACTAGGTTAGCGCTCACAGCCCCTCGGTACAGGGTTTCCGTCTGATCGGGACAGAGTTATGTTTTCTAACCACCCCTGGCCCCGGGCACCAGCCCCAGAGCAGCAAAACAAGAGTGAAAAGGAGTTGCCTTTGCGACAGCATCTTTTGGTAGCACTGAGGTTCCTAAATCTTTTAGGGTGCCACTCCAGAGCTCGGATCAATGGTTGGAGCCCCAGCCTCGGTGAGATGACCGCTCCTGCTTCTGAGCATCAGCTCAGCCCTTGATCTTTTCAGCCTCTAAAATACAGATTTAAAAAGAAGAAATTGGGGAACAAACTCTGCAGATAAAATGAAATCTGGTATGGGTATCCCTAAAGGTAACGACAAAATAGATATTGAAAGTAAAAACCAAAAGTATGCTATATGGATGAAATACATTTTATGGAATGAGACCACTTTGAAAGGGAAGCGTGGAAAATACTGAGAAAAAGTAAGTTATCTTAATATACGATGAAGTTAAGATCATACACACTGCTTTCCCAGTCCTTACAAATATAACCTACCAAGGGTAAGAGGTGTTGTACCTGCAAAGGGGGCACGGATCTCAGGGCACAGAAATCGGAAGCAGCATGAGCTGATTTTTAACACCATTTTAATAGTAATATGCAATTATAAAATGATTTAATGATTCCATAAATTATATCAGGAATGGGGCTGCGTTATCTTTGCTAATTTTAATTTTTTTAATTTTGGTTTTGCTACGTGCATTCCCCTAAAACCTGAGAGCCAGTGGGATTTTTTTTTTGCTGATAAGATAAAACAGAGGCTGCGGGTGCCCTTGCAGCTAACAGGTACAGAGTTTCACCTGACTTCTGCCCCCTCATTCCCACCAGTAAGCCACAAAACCTGTGAACCCAGCACTGGTATGAAGGGGACACGAAAGTGGTCGCAGGGCGCATGCAAAGTCCACGCAGCACAGACACCAGCAAACCCCCCTGACCCCAGCTGGGAGCCCACGTCCCTGCTCGGTTGCTGGCCCACACCTCGAGGTCCTTCCACATCGGTGCCCAGGAGAGCTACAGGTGGTTTGCAAGAGGCCTTGGAAGATGGCAGTCATCCCTGCGTTACAAATGGTTGCTGGGACAAATTCAGAAGATCCTCCTTTCCCTGCGTTGAGCGGGAAGATGGGGAGAAGCTTCTTCCAGACAAAACCGGGGAATCAAAGGAACCAGCTGACAACTGGTGGGGTCGGTCAGCGGGGACATTGCAAGGACTCCAGAAAACCCCAAATCAGGTTCCATCTGGCAGTGGGACGGGATGGGCCAGGGCGAAGCTCGTGGCACTTTTTGGACTTAATCAATGCACAATCAAAGAATAATCTGCCTCTGAGAGTGCAGAGCATGGGGGTGAAGAAGTTGATGAATAGATCTACTCCCGAGGCCTTTAGTGGAGACAAACCCCTCCAACCCCCATTCACCTCTGTAGGTCACAGCATGACACAGGGGGAATGGTGCCTGAGAGAGGACTGCCGGACTTGGCTCGTTCTTCTTAGGCTTTCAAATCTTAAAATAAATTTACCCAGTATGGACTATCTTGTTGCCAGCGAAGACAAGGAAGCACTAGAAATGACAAACTAGAACACAAAATTTACTTTCTTTTTTTCCCTTTCCCTCTCTCTTCCTCTTCCCTTCCTGCTGCTATGCTTACTTAACCTCCAGGTACCCGCTTAAATAACTCAACTAAATAGCAATAATGAACGGGCAGAGTCAACACTGCGGTACATAATCACCTTGTCTGTTGTGTTTAGCATCAGTGATCCCTTCTTTGCGTGCATGACATTCTTCTGCCTTCCTCTATGTTAAGGATTTGCTTTTCACTTTATTTGCATTTAATTACCGACGTTGTACCCATGCACATTTTGTTTTCTCCCCGTTCAACGCAGATACTCCCGCATACCCTATTCCTGCAGGAATTCCTAGGAACTTCTAGGAATTGCTGAGTTCATTTCTGAGCAACTCATCCCCAACTCCCATTCCTACGCCCCAACTTGCTTGTGCGAACGGGTGTGTAAAGCACCAACTGTTTACTTCCATGAATGGCTGCCCGAGAGCATTACGGATACTCTGCCGGCTTGCAAACGGCGCTGCTCTGAAGCATTAATTCTACAATTAGTTTCAAAAAGGAAACAGGAACTGCTAAAGTTTCAGATCGTTATAGCTGCCAGAAGTATTTTTACAGGAAGGGTCTACAATGTTACTGTTGTGAAAATGTTTAACTGCAAGATTTGAAAAGCTACTCTTTCAACAAAACTATCTTAATTTTTTTTAATTGTAATTTTTTAAAGTTCAGGCTTTAAAACGGGGCGATTGCGGCAGGATTTCTTGTCACATTAACATCGCCGTGATTTTGTCAAATAGGGATCGTATTAATAAGAGATAAAGTGAAAGTTACAGCGTATAAACTTAGACCACACCAGAGCTAAAAATAAGCCTGCAAATACACATCAGAGTTGCACAACAAAACACCAGCAAAGGAAATGCAGAATTACAGACTTTTTTTTTTTCTTTTTGTTTACTTCATGTAGTTTTAACTCGGTGTTATTTCATAAGTGTTTCAAAATAGTTTCCCTTCTCCTGAACAACTTAAATATTTCCCCACAAAATTCATCTTCCATTTTGTAAGCCATTACTCACCCAAGTAACCTTTCTACAAGAAGTCCCAATGAGTAACGATCACTCATGCACAAGCGGCCCCAAAAAATTAGTGTCAAAGTATAAGACTTCTTCACTCCCATTTAAACAAAGCTGCGTAAAAAGTTAAATCAAATGCAATTCACTGCTTGCCAGCAAATAAAAATTACTAAATTGAGCACATCGCAGTCATTTCTAGATGACAAGTGCGTCCAACAATTCGCCTCAACTTTTCAGTGACAGAGATCACAAAAAATAAAATAAAATAGAAGGGGGGGGGGTAATATAAAAATAAAGACTACAGTTCTCATTTAATCTGCTTTTTCCCCAGTAAAGACTGCAGGATAAAGCAGTAAAATAGTTGATGAATAAGTTGGAAAAAATATAGTGCCAGATTTTGTCCTTAGCTATTCCTGAATAAATCCAGATTTATGCTGGTACAACTGAGGGCAGAATCGTCTCATGGTGTCAGTCAAGCAATCCTGCTTTCTGAACTGGACGAGAAACAATCTTGAAGGAATGAGATCATGGTCATTCTATTACTCAGTTATATCATGGCCTTGATTTTAAAAGAGTAAGAGAAGGAGAGAAATCACCGACATGCATTTAAATCCACTCACTTTCAAATCCCACCTCTGCTTCACAAAACAAACTATCTCCCTTACTGAAATAAAGGAGAAAGAAAGCCTCATTAAAATGAGGGTCTTTTCAAAAACAGAACTAAAATGATTTGTAATGACGTATACAGCCATACACACAGAGACAAAATAAAATCCTGGCCCCACCGAATTCAATAGGAGCTTTGCAATTGACTTCAGATGGGCCAGAATTTCACCCAGAGAGGATTAGGCTTGTATCCGCTATATATCTACAGCGAAAATACTATGAATTACATTTATTTGGCTTCGACTGCTTAACCCTTAATTACCCGAGTTTTTACCCCTTCCCCAGGCAAATTTTCCACTCGTCCCAGTGAGGTTTAGCCCGGACAAGCAGCACAGCGCTGGGGCCCAGGGCGAGGACGGTTAGTTCTTGCTGTCTGTCTCAATGCACAATTCAGTAGCATCTAATTATTTTATCCAGCCTCCCTCTGCCTTTGATACGCAGCCTGCTTATCGATGTATTCACACAAATTAAATAAATTTATCTCTCCTAATATGTTCATTTTTAATGGTTTTCAAACATTCACATGGAAACAGCTCTAGCGTAAATATCCCAGAACAAATGGCTGTATATTATACAGGAGGGAGCAGTTGGGCTGCCAGACTGGGAATGCACCAGGCCATCTGGCTCAGGCAGTCTCTCCAAAATCCTCAGCTTTGTTTTCACCCTCAGACTCCAAACAACACATTTTCCACTGTGATGAGTTTACATTTTCCCAAACACAGGTCCTGATCATGCATGCAAATTCCAAACTTCTCCATTCCTCTCTCTACAAGAAAATTAAAATCACCTGCGCTTCTGACATCTCACCAAAGGCACAAGAAAGCTGC